ATGCTTCTTCAAAACATAGATCATTCTATGAGTTTGTGCAATGGTACGAGGCTAATAATAACGAGGCTTGGTGATCATATTTTAGAAGCAAGAGTTCTCACTGGTAGAAGTATGGGTCAACAAGTGCTTATTCCAAGACTGTCCTTAACTCCATCTGACATTATGCTCCTGTTTAAGTTTCAGCGAAGACAGTTTCCCATCATGGTTGCTTATGCTATGACCATTAACAAGAGTCAAGGACAATCTCTTTCGCAAGTTGGTTTGTTGCTAAAGAAACCAGTGTTCAGTCATGGTCAATTGTATGTGGCAGTTTCACGAGTTACAAACCCCAAAGGACTAAAAATTTTAATTTTAGATGATAACGGTGAATGCTCGAATGAAACAACCAATGTTGTGTACAAGGAAGTTCTTCAAAATATTTAAAATTTTCCATGTAAAATTATGACTAATAGGATGTTTTTGTTGTCTCTATGCTGGGTTTTGTAAATGATTTGATGTGTAATTTTTAAACAAAGTTATTTTTAATTCAATTCATACAAGTTTAATTATTTCGGCCGTGCAACGCATGGGTGAGAATACTAGTTTTGAACAATAAGCGGACTTTGTGAAGCGGGATGGTAATTGGTGAATGGGATGGCAATGGGGGCGTGGGGAACCGCCCCGTGGGGGTGGGGTTGGGGGCGGGGGCAAGGACGAGGATGAGTTTGATATTTATACCTGCTAAAAATTTCAGTGTCGGATCCAGGAAACAGAGTTATTGGGGGCAGAACACAAAATGGCGTGCATGAAAAACACAACCAAATATACCCGAATAGTAAAATTTTGTAATAAAATACACCCAAGTTTCATAACTAAATAAAGTATATTACGTAGTACAATATATAAAAACTCTAAAAAGTGTAATCAATTCTTTGATAAGTAATGTACTTTTTTGTCTTTATATATCTTAAACCTTCTCCTAGCTAGAGTGGTACATATGTAAAAATTATGAGCCCGTTTGGTAACACTTAAATTAGCTGAATCAGCTGATTCTGCTGAAATTTATGAAGTTGTGGCTGAAGTGACTGGATTAGCCGATTCTGCAAATTTATGAAAAAAAATAAAATATACGAGTACTTTATTAATAAAATGAAAAAAAATATAAATAATAAATAAAATGGTCGTTTACAATAACTTCAGTCCATCTAGCCAAAAAAGTAAGTTCAACCTTACTTATTTTGATTAGTACATCATTCAGCGCACAAAATCAATAGTTATGTTTTGGTAAAAAGTTGGCTGATACAACGAAAAACACGTTTATCAAACGGGCTCTATATTTTATATGGCTTTCTTAATTTGTCTCTTTATATTATACTTCTTAAAAGTTAAAACCTTCTCCAAGAGTGATAGTTATGTAAGAATTATATGTAGTATTTTACATGACTTTCGTAATTCTTAAATCACAATACTATTTATAAGTTGTTGCAAATTTTAAATTTTAAATTTTAATAATCTAACACAAATACACCATAACACTTTAACACATACTAATAATACAATAATCAATACTCAGTACTTCAATAGTCAAATTACTCAAATACGGAGTATTTAATTTAATACTCAATAATACACTTCCTTGTTTACCCAACCTGAAGTATATGGAGTACTGAGGGGGTGTTTGGATCTGATTCTCAAATTAAAACTGATTCTGCTCCTTCAGGGAGCAGAAGCAGAAGTTAGAGTGTTTGGGTGAAATTCCAGAAGCACTTCTGGAGCTCTAATTTACTCTCAGAATCAGTTTTTTTAGAAGCTGGGAGGTACCAGCTTCTGGAAATTGATTCTGATTCTGCTTCTGCTTTTAAAAAAGAAGCAGAAGCAGAATCAGTTCCAAACACCCCCTGAGTAATTGAGCATTATTTTAAGGGGCATTAGGCTTATGTATACGGAGCATATCATTTTTCTTTGGGCTGAGTGAAGTTCGGTGGGGGCATTGGCATTTTTCTATTGGGGCAATTGTATGTACTAAACTTTTTCGCAATATAATATAGGGGTTATCGAAAGTTTATTGGGGGCAGCTGTCTAGATGTGCATCCGCCTCTGGCTAAAATATGGGACGGGGGACGGGGGACGGGAATTGCTACACTCGCCCCATCCCCGCTCCGTCCCCGTAATATATATAAACTCAAAGATACATATATGTACACACACATACATAATGTATAAATATATTTAACTAAATTATGGAGTATGTAGTATATTAACAAACACATACATATGCATATTGACATATATAAATGTATATATGTTTGATTAGTCATGGCTAATGAATAAATACATATTATGTCATAATAATACGTAATAACTAATAATATTTATCATAAATATTATACTTATAATGAGTTTTAAAAGTGAGAAAGTGAGTAAATAGAACACATATCCATAGAGTGAGTATTACACTTAAAAAGAGTAATACAATTCGTCGAATCACTCAAGATTCAAGAATAAATCTCACTTTCAAAGTGCAGGCCACGATACTTCTCTTTTTTTACCGGGGAGGGGGTAAGTTGGGATCAAACTCGCTCCATTAAGTATTGAAGTGAAAATAACAAAATAACAAAAACTACGATTGACATTATTACTCAACCCACCAAAAACACTAATTTAGACTTAATCAATTGAACTAGGCAACTAGCAATTATGTTTCGACATGAAGGGCATGTTTGACACAATTAGATGAAAAAAATACTTTTGTAAGCATTTTAGTAATTTTTAGCATTTGGTGGCCGAAAAGATATTAAAAGAAAACAGTGATAGTTTTTTTTTTTCCTACTAAAGTAGTGTAGGGCTTGAAAACTCCGCAATACAAGTAATATTTTTAGCATTTTCTATGAAGTGCATTAAATATAAGTCCTTATACAGAAGTTGATAATTTTATCATTTTCTAAAACCATTAATGTATTCGTTTCCCGGAGCTGTATGAAAGTTTAATTAAACCTCATCCAGGTGTAATGGGGATCCTCTTTCTTTGAACCCACATGTCGTGGGCAGAACATTACAGACATTTTGTTCTGTTTGATATACAAGCTGTTTGGACCAATTAATGCTAAAAGTTATACACTTTTCTTAGATGTCACTAAGTGTAACTTCTCAGAAAAGACCTTTTTATTTTGAAAAAGCTCTTAAAAGTTGTTATACCAAACATTCAATTAGAATTTTTAATGACTTTTAAATAATACAAAAGCCAGAAGGTAAGTGATAGCCGTTATATTTATTTGTGTTTAGATAAGTATTTATGAGTATTTGTTGAAGAAAAGAACAGAAATCGGACAAATACCTTCAGAATGAGAGCTAAAGCATAAAACATTGTGATGAACGGTTTTGAGACCAAGAGGATGACATTGTGCCCATAATTTGAGTAAAACTTGTTGTAGAGAATTCCAAATGACTCAGTTCAAAGTCCATGTGAATAATAACTCAATAAGCTACACATGTTGTGATTCACTTGTGAAGACATCATGGCCAAAATATGAAAAGATTGAGACTCAATCAACCAATAAACTCAGATGTTGATGATGGGATTTCAGGATGCATACCTCTCAATGTTTTATCCATATCTTTTGATTGGATGAATAAAATCACGTCATTCAAGTTTTGTTGGATAGAAGACTTCATTATCTACAACTGTGACGATGAATTCGTGTCCAAATTCGTAGCGGAACATCTCCAGAATCCCGGGACGAAAACCAGCACTTCTGGATCCATTTCGGAGGAAGAGAAATGAAGCACATTTTTGGGCGCAGCAACCGGCGTCGATCAGTCTAGAACCGGCGTCGGTCAGAATGTTTTTTCGCACATGGCAACCTGTTTTCATCCGGGGCCGGCCAAAATGAAGAACCAGCGAGGCAATATAGCATAACCGACGTCAGTCAGGCTAGAACCGGCGCCGGTTGGGTAAAATCCTGCACAAAACACAGCGACGTGCAAGCTTATTCTTGATGGGAAAACTCCATCTTTCTCATTGTTGATGAAATATTGCTTCCATACCTGATTGTTGGACTCGAATAGACTAAAAGATGTCATTCTCTGATCTATATAAAGCCCTCAATTCATCAAACATGAACATTCCATTCCATAGATTAATTCATAGTTTGTACATCTTCGTCTTGCTATTTTTCTTCAAGTTCTTAAGGAGGGAAGTTCATCCTCCGAAATCATTGGTGTTTAGGTATTATTTCCTTTGTAATTTTATGTTCCATTACATTTCAATATTGTATTGTGATTAATATGAGCATTAGAGGCTAATTTCTTAGCTAAGGCTAGGGATGAACCTCTATGCCCACTAGGTTTTTGATAAAAGTTCTAAACCAATAAATTGTGGTTTATCCTATATATTTTGATTGTTTATAACTATGGTGTACAACATAGAAGTATGGTAAATTTAGTTTATTTTTACAATTAAACGTTGAAGTCTAAACTATGAACATTAAAGGATAAACATACATAGTACCGAGAATAGAAATATATTCGGTCTTATATGATATGGGTGTGATGTCATGATATTCAACGGAGTTTTCGGTAGATGAATGTAAGCCGTAACGGGACTTACACGTAACGAAAACTACTCTCTCGTTGCCTTAATCAGAGTTGAGAATATATTAGCGACATCGTATTCATAATTATTGGAAAAGAAATATTATTAAATAACTATTAAAGCATTTAGGTGAATCTTGATTGCCTTAATAATTCTTATTCTTGTTTAAATCATTCTCAAAGAACAAAGTTCCTGAAAAATTATACCATTTATATTATTTGCACTCAATACTCAACTTGATAATATCAATCATTTACCTGTTGATCGACTCGTTATTTACCGATATATTATTACTATTTTCGACACTTGTATACTTGCAAGTTTAGCCCAGTAAGAATTATGAATCATGCCTACCAAGTACCAAACATGCACGAAAAAAATGGGAATTTCGCACTCCAAAAAGCTTACTAATGGTCTAATCCAATCATCAGCCCAATGCAATATGTTGGCCCAAACGAAGGAACCGGAACGGATCTGCGATTACTGAAGCTATGATGCAGACAAGTTCGTCTGTTCGTGTTCCATATCCGAAATTCCTATTTCTCTAAGCTAAAACCCTGGCAGAAGATATCTTCATTGTATATTCCGATCCCGATTTCGTGAACGCCTTTCAATATGGTTGTCTGTAAATGCCGGAAGGTAACGGCTAAGTAATTCTTTCTTTGTATACATGATGATTACATGCATACATACATCAGTTTGTAGAAATTAGATCTAGATTCGGTAATGTGCAATCTGATGTTTTTCTCAAACTGAATTTGAATTGTTAATTGGTCAATCTTCTTATTACGGAGTATTGTTTCTAAATTAATGAATATTTGTTGATGAAACTCGCGACGAGCTAGCGTGTAGCTGGATTTCAGTTTATCAATGACCCTATGAAATGCGCTATAGGAGGAGAGAAAATAAACGGTAGCTAACTTTATCTATTTCATGGAAGTGATCACGGGTCCAGGGCTAATTTTTGGTGATCACATTGTGTGCAAAAGTTTGAGGTTAGCAGTTTACAATTGCTTTACCAGACCACTAAGTAGCAATTCTGTGAATTTCAGGCAACTAAGTTGTACTGCTTCGTACACAAGGTTCCAGTCTGTGGAGAATGCATATGCTTCACTGATCATCAGATATGCGTGGTATGGTATAGTTTGCTTTTCATTTTCATTTTATTTATAGCAAGTTGATGAAGTTAAATTTTGAGCACTTCTTATTCCCTGTATTCATATTTGAAAATAATGCCATCACTTTAGGTCCGCACCTTTTCAGAATGGGTCATAGATGGAGGGTATGACTGGCCTCCAAATTGCTGTTCCTGTGCTGCTGTGCTTGAAGATAAAACAGATGCTCAAACTACACGATTGGGTTGCCTGCGTATGTTGCCTTTACCAGTCAAATTTCACTGACAGAAATTTCATGCAATATTGTGCATTCCCATATAATCTAACATTTTCTTGTTTGCTTTTCGTAGATGTTATTCATACAAATTGCTTGGTTTCACATATTAAAGGCTTTCCACCGCAAACTGCTCCAGCTGGGTATGTCTGTCCGGCCTGTTCAACTTCAGTAAGTTTTACTACCAGAAGCAAAGTAAAAAGTGTGGGTATTGAAATTTTCCTATTGCTGGCAAGTGAATCTTGATTTCCTTTAGATCAGGATATGCTGATTTGAATTGCCTAGAGCTGGAGTAATAATCTATTTCCTGAGGTCCATACTTTAATCTATAAGACATGATTTTAGCTTTCACAAAAACCAAGCAAATGATAAAAAATTGAAAATAGTCTTCGCTTTCCCTATATACCCTTGAGTCTTGAGCATAGGTTTCAGAAGGGACAATTTTGGAAGAAAAGTTTATTGATAATACAAAAGTGACTTACATATAGAAGCACCCTAGTACAACAACATCAGAGACTTAGTCCCAAAAGAGTTTGAGGTCAGCCAACATGAATCAACATACAAAATTGGAGGTAAAAAGGATTAAAAAAAGATAAGATAAGATAAAAAAGATAGTGTAAAGATAAAAAGATAAAATAAAAAGGATAAGATAAAAAAGATAAAAACATAAAGAACGTAAGAAAGACAAAAAAAAGATATAAAGATAAAAATATAGAAGTATTTGTCTTGAGGCTAACTTGATCAAACAACAGAGTCAATGGTATGGTCAGCTTTCTTATCACAAAGCTGGCTTGGTGAGTGCACTACTTGGTACTTGCTAGTGGCGAATGAGGTCATGGATGGAGGAAAGTCGACTTTGTATATAAATTACAATGTGCAAATAGCATCATTCTTTGATATTGATGAACACGTGCTAAATAGGATACGAGTTTTAGTCATCCTTACGGTTCATTCTGAATATTAATTCCTTCCAACATTATGCTGTAAACTATGGAGGATTTCTTATGTCTTAACTTGGTTCACTGATTTTTTCTGTCCTATTCCAAACACATTACTTAAAATTCCAGATACAGAGCTATACTAGCTCTCAATCTCTCATATATGTCTGAAAATGGAGACAAACAATAGGGAGACTTTACGAATAGCATGATTTCTGATGTATGAGTATATGTGTTTAGGCAATTATTTACTATAGTTCATGGAAACTAAACATATACGGAGTATATGATGCAGTGATTATTCATGGAAACCCAGCATTTGCACTGCGCTGTGATTTTCTGCCCTTAATCATCACTATGACTTAGAGTTGCTTCTATTGCTTCAGATATGGCCTCCTAAACATTTCAAAGATTCAGGATCGTGTCTTCATTTAAAACTGAAAGAAGCAATAGTGCAGGTGAGCATTTTGATGTTGTTATGCGTGCTGTTTGCGTACTTCCTTTTCAAATTCATTCCATTTCCTTTTTGTTTGAATGATGAATCTTCATTTCCTCTATTCTTTTTATACAAACTAAATAAAACCATATATCTTGCCTGAGTTTTTTTGTTATTAATTTTAATGTGGTCCAGACTGGCTTGGAAAAGAATCTGTTTGGAAATCATCCAGTTTCATTGCATCCGACAGATTCTCGAAATCCTCCACCTGCTTTCGCTTCAGATCCATTGAAGCATTTTTCTGAAGCTGGAGCCTCTGGGATAGATATAGCACTTGGCATGGAGGCTGCTGAAACTGGTTCCCTAAAGCCTTCAGCTCTTGGTATTGTTGAAATAGATAGACCAAACTCAGCTGATGCTCATTCCAATCATGAGGCGAGTTTCACTCAAAGCTCAAGCCCTCCTGCTGTAAGCAAGTATTACTGCAATTTGTACACGCACACACACACATACTAGTAGGGTTTTTCTAATGTGTGCCTATGGGCAGATGGTAGAGAACAATTAATGTGGCTCAATTTTAAGTTCAATGAAAAATTTTGATCTTTTCAAGGAAATATGTAATGTATCATGCAATTATCTCTATTGTCAGTAATAGTTCAAGAAAGTTATGAGCATTATCTATTCACTATTATGTGCCGACTGCCAATGTGAAGTTGTGCACACTTTCAAAAACCTACTAGTATGATACATTCATACAGTAAAGCACTTACAATTGCTTATAGCACTATAGCATGGCTTGAAACAATACACATGCCACATAGGAGATGTGTACATTGTTCTTATATCCTCTCTTTATGCCTCTTACCAGCCGGGGGCCACCACAAGAAAGAGCACACGACAAGCAGAAAGACAAAATTCAGAAAATCCATACTACGGCGATGAAGAAGATGGCAATCGCAGAAAGTACACAAGAAGGGGTGAGAACATTATTGTTTGAATATGTGTTTTCTGTGAGGTGTATGTGTGTTTCCGATCATAAACTAGAGTCTTCAGGTTAATAAAGGAAAGTTAACCTGATCTACTTATATGGCAAAGTTTTCTCTTCCCTTGGATAGCTTTGCTCATTAGGAATATACTCCCTCCGCCCCATAAAATAATTCCCACTTTCTTTTTTGGACTGTCCCAAAAAAAATTCATTTCCCTTTTTGGAAAGTTTTGTGTGGCTACCATTCATTTACCTTTTTCTTACTCAGCCACAACCATACATTTCTACTTAATTCCTACTTTCTTAAACTCTAATCCAAATCGGAGTGGGAACTATTTTATGGGACGGAGTCACGGAGGTAGTATATATCATCATGGCAAGGAAGTTATGCTATATTACCATCTATGCTGCCTGATAAAGATTTGCTCAAAGTAAAACTAGTGACATTCCATCTACACTCTACAGGTACACTTCCACACAAATTCGTAAGATCTCTACTGCCTTTTTGGTCAAGTGCATTGCCAACACTACCTGTAACTGCACCACCTAGAAAAGAAGCATCTAACGCTGCAGATGGTTTGCCAGAAGGCCGGACACGCCATCATAGATCATCAAGAGTGGATCCAAGAAAAATTCTCCTCTACATGGCAATCATGTAGTGGTTTCTGTATCTCTTATCGGCTTATTGATTACTACGTATATTATTAATGTATTGTTTTTTGTGTTAACTACTTCCCTGGCATTGCTCCAACCAACAAAAATTAATATCCATCTATCTCTAATCTTGATATCTATTGGTACTCCTACTTTGTGAGAAGTCATTAAGTGATGGAAACCTGGTTGGGGCACAGACAATTAAATAAAAGGCAGAAGAGAATAAAGTACTCATTGAGTAGCTGGTCTTTTTAGGTTGGTAAATATGCCTTTATATGTGAGAACTTATAAGATCGGAGATTACCCTATTTTTTTTCAACAAGCAGTTAGGAAATCTGGTTGGCACAATTGCACAAACAATTAAGTCAAAGTCAAATCTGGTTGGCCCAATTGCACAAACAATTAAGTCAAAGGAAATACCTGTTACGTGAATCCTTTCAGGCCTGTACTTGCTCCCAGATTCAGAATGATGGCACAAAAACTAAAAAAAAAAACATTTTTTGGTAGGGTTCTATTTTGAAAGCCTGTTCTCAGTATGCAATAAACATGGCTGTTCTTGTATGCAGGGCTTGCATGGCAACAATGGGTATTTTGTATTACAGAATTGCACAACGTGGTCTGGAGCAGCTGCCTAATGATGAACAGCAGTAACTTTAATTTCAAGTCATATAGCTGAATTGCTTCTATACTGCTCTATTAAGATAAAAGTAATAACAGTTGTGCCCACTCTTCTTGGTTACCATTTATGTATGCATTTTCAGAAACAATTTTAACGATAAAAGTAATAACAGTTGTGCCCACTCTTCTTGGTTACCATTTATGTATGCATTTTCAGAAACAATTTTAACGAGGCTCAGTTTGCTGTCAGTTACAGAGAATAGATTTAAATTTTATGTATCAGATTAAATTATATAGAAAATATTTATTATTATTATTTAAATCCTCTCACCCCTGCCCCTGCTCCTCACTACCTTGCAATGCTATACACTGTAGTCTCGAGCAGATGTATAATGAAACTCTCTGTCTTTATGTACAAGAAATGATGAAAAGTTGTGCCGTACTTGGTTTGGGAATGCCTGGAATATGATTCTCTCATAAGGATTTATGAGAAAAAAAAAAGGTCCATGACAGGTCCATGAGGATTCATGTTAAACAGGTCCATGACACATCACCCCACACATCTTCACTCTGGCTTAGAACCGAACTTGCTTTATATGGGTTGACCAAATTCTGGTTCATGGAAAGGGTGAACCTTAGCCAGATATGCAACAAGGTTCAGTCCAGTATGGTTCTTGAGTTGATTTTGGACTGTATTTTTAGTCTATTTGAAAATAAGCAATTGACCGAACATCATCTATGATATTGGAGGATTTGGAGGAGCTGACAGTCTGACACAAGACCAGTTTCTAAACCTGTGCCAAGTTGGAACTGTAAAAAGTAAAAACAATGTGGTTTGGGCAAAGCAGGAACATTCTCGGATTAAAGATGACTAAAATGCAACTCTTTCCGTATTCAAAAGTTCACTACAATAGGTTTGGACACTAATCAAGTACGGAGTATGAAATAGTAGGAGAAATGAATTGTGTAGAAAAATTAAGAAAGTGGAAAAGTATGAAAGAAAAAATATAAAGAAAAAGTAGGCATGGACCCGGTTCGGGCCGACCGGCCCGGGAACCGGCTTGGCCCGTTACTGTGCGGGCCTGGCCCGGGAAACCGGTTCCGGTACCGGGTTTAGGCCCAGCCCGAGGGGACGGTTCTGGGACATGAAAAAGGCGAACCGACCGGGTTGGGTTTAGGTGAGCTGGGGTAGAAAGCTGTTCTCTTCACCTAATCTGAATGTTTCTGATCTGAATTTTTTAAGTTCTGATCTGATCTGATCTGAATTTTTCTGATCTGATCTGATCTGACTCTTTCTGATCTGATCTGAATCTTTCTGTTCTGATCTGAATATTTCTGATCTGGTCTGATCTGATCTGAATTCTTCTGATCTGATCTGAATCTTTCTGATATGTTCTGATTTGAATATTTCTATAATTATAATTATTATAAATATAATTTTAATTACAAATATAATTTAAATAAAATTATAATTATAACCATAATTATAATAAATATAATAATAATTAAACTAAAATTCAAAATTATAATAATTATACCCATTACACTAATTATAACTATAGATAAAATTATAATTGTAATTATATTTTTAATTATATAATCATAATTAATTATATAATTACTTATATAATTATAATTGTAAGTATAATTATTATATTTATTTCTATAATTACAATTATAACCACTCCGTATGATAATAATAATTACAACAACCACAATAATAATATTAATAATAATAGTAACAATAATAATAATAATGATAATAATAATAATAATAATAATAATTAAAATTATGATTATAATTATAATAATACGTAGTATAATACTCCCTCTGTCCCGCTAAGATTGTCCCATTTTACCTTTTCGGGATGTCCCACTAAGATTGTCCCATACCAAATTTGGTAAAGTTTGTGTGGCTCTAAACCATTCTTACTTTATTCTTACTTTATCAATTTAATATCAACCACACAAACTCACTTTTCTTAATAACCGTGCCACCTTTTCATGTCTCAATCTTAGTGGGACGGAGGTAGTAATAATATAAGAATAATAAATAATAATAATAATATACTATTATATTATTATTATTATTATTATTATTATTATTATTATTATTATTATTATTATTATTATTATTATTATTATTATTATTATTATTATTATTATTAGTGATTGAATGCTCTCTTTTTCAAATATAAAAAATAGGTATTTTATATTACTTATTAGCCAACTCACCATTTTATTGATGAATACATAGAAGTATTCATCAATGAAATTTATTAAAATCCTACTATATTTTTGAATTTATATGTACAGATCAGAAAAACTTTATCTTAGTAATAATTTACATCAAATTGTAGGTTGTTATACAGTGATGCAAACCATATAGTCAAATCCATGGTGTGAAGGTTGTCGAAGTCAAAAGGCCATGACAACTCATGCACCCATAATTAAAGGAAGTGACGTACCTGCTTAGATGCGTTCACATTCCACATGTGTTTATTAGTATGGTTTATGACTATAAATACTATCTCTAATTATAAGTTTATCCTGCAACGAGAAATAATATAGCTAGAACTCTCCTAGCAACAACATCTTAGTTTCTATCTTATTATACTAGAGTAATACTTTTTTGCTCCCAGAATGTCATTTAAGTACACAATATTGTTTATAATTATAATCATATTTTGTTAGGGTAATGTGTTGAACTTCAACAAGAACCCTAGTATGATGAATGGAGTGGAGGGCTCTAGAAACCTTAAAGATGGATCATATGATCATCTTATTCTTGAGCATCATCAGGAGGAGCTTTCAAAAGAGAACACAATGGAGAACTCGTACCATCGCTTCACTGCAACCATCATAGGAATGGCTCACTCAGGTCCAAGCAATTGTGGCAAAGGCCATAAGTGTACATAGCTTGTATGTGTACAACTTCATACTCCGATCCATATAATATACTAATAATCATGTACACCATCATTTGATATTGTATGGTCAAGCAGCCTGCAACTCTTTGATCAATAGTTCATGTGTTCTTGTATTTGTGTATGGAAGAGATCGAATAAAATATACTACTTGTGTGAATTGAAAGAGACCCACCTACCATATACGATAGTATATATATATAGGTGGGTGGGTGGGTGTGTCTTTTCATTAATCATACATACAAGTATATATATTAATCTACAATATTGTATTTTTATCTCATTCTTATAATTAAACATTTTACTCCGTATCTATCATCATCATTAATGTTAAACTATTGATCATCCAAAATCGTACATGTTTCTACCATGCGCCCAACCACCCAAGTGAAATATTTCTTATTCATCATTTAATGCTAGGAATTTGCTTCGTGCACGCCGGCTTATACGCCCAAGTGTAATTGCCTAAGCACAGACAATTACACTTGGATTTTAGCAAAGGGAAGGGTCTATAATTCCAAAAAGTGAATTGTTTGTGCACGGGCAATTCGGGATCACAGACACTTCCCTTTACGAAACTAAAGTATAATTGTCGGTGCAAAGACATATACACTTAAGCGTTTAACCCGGCATGCAACCGAGCTTGTAAACGAAGCAAATTCCTTAGGGCATGTTTGGTTGGAGGTAATCTTGTATGCAGGTCGGAATATGATGTCTGAAATCTGAAATCCCCCCGCGTCTGGTTCGCGGGTTTAAAAAATTGGGAATGTTACATTCCCAAAAAGTGAAGAATGTAATCTCATGGCCCGTAATGTTAGACCCATGAAGCTCTTAGGTTATCTTGGATGTCTGGTTGATTATTATTATTATTATTATTATTATTATTATTATTATTATTATTATTATTATTATTATTATTATTATTATTATTATTATTATTATTATTATTATTATTATTATTATTATTATTATTATTATTATTATTATTATTATTATATTATTATTATTATTATTATTATATTATTATATTATTATATTAAAAAAATAATAATAATATTATTAATATCTTATTATTATTATTATTATTAATTATAATGAAATAATTATAATAATTATTATAATTAATATAATAATAAAAGTGATAAATTATGTTTGAACTTTTCTGATATAATCTGATCTGAATGTTTCTGATCTGATCTGAATGTTTCTGATCTGGTCTGATCTGATCTGATTCTTTCTGATCTGATCTGAATAAAATAAGAATAAGCAATAAGAATAAGACGAACAGAACAGCACCTGGGTGTTTCCAAGGGGTTTGGGGGGTGGGGGTTGAAACAAATAAGAAAACACAAAAAATAAAAAATAAACCTGTACAGGTAGACTCCCAGGCTGGTCCCGGGCCTTACCCAAAAACACCCAAGCTCGGCCGGGCCGAGGCCCAAACTTGAACTGGACCGGGCCCGGTCCACCCCTAAGAAAAAGTAAAAATAGTGAAAGTGTAGCAAATTTTTATATCCAAAAAAAGGAAAATGTATAAAAAGCTTGAAAATAGGGAGTATAAACGTACAAAATACAATGGGGCCATGGGGTGATGGACTGATGGGGGTACTTTGATTTCAATGGCAGGTTGGTAAATTTTATATAATCAAAAAACCAATATTTCCATTGAATGAATATTTGTGTTACAAGTTACAAATAGCAAATACGATATGCTTATGAACCCAATACAGAAAGATAAAAATTGGAGGCTAGTGATGAAAAGCATATGTTGCAATAATACAGAGAGTATCTTAAAGCAAAATATGAAAATATAGATATACGTTATAGACTTGAGGATGAAAATTATGAATCGTCTTCTATTAAAGTGTGCAACTGTGACCGGAATTTGGACATTTTGCTAGCTTCCAAAGCCATCACCAAACCACAAATCCGGTAATCTTTTAGCTGCAATATAAAAGATAGACGTATCAAATTAAGGGGCAATTCCATTATATAATATAAGATGGCCATCTCTTGGGAAACGGGAACACAATACATTACTCTAAGGATGTGTTTGGATCCTGGAAATTCTAGGGACAGGAAGAAAATGACCGATTATTAATGTTTTACATCACTCATGGACCAAAGTGCAACATGGAGTCGTTTTCTAGTTCTGTTTAACATCAGAAAGTGCCAATGAAAATAAAAGATGAATTTGAACAAATATAAAGACTATTTATTTCATTTTGAACAAATGTACATTTGCCCCTCTGCATTTTTATTCATCCTTATTTTCTTTTCCTAGTTTTTCAAGTCCCAAACTGACCCTAAATCTGTAAGTGAATAGTGTTACTCTGAACTTTTATATAGGGGTGGGACCGGTTCGGTTCTTACTCAAAATGAGTGGAACCGTTATAAAAGTTTTAACTAATGAAATCGGTTCGGTTCCTATATAAAAATCAAGAACCGTTATGGAACCGAACCGGTAGTAAACGGTTCGGTTCTTCCTTTTACCGGTTCCTAGAATAATTTTTTCTCGTCTAAGAATTAACACATAATTTTAAACACGTCGAAAATTCAAAACGCGAGTATTAAAATTTTATTTGAAGCTCTAATCACTTCAAACATCAAAGCTAAAACTTAACTAATGAACTTTGAACACTTAATAGAACAAAAGTGATTTAAATTTTTATGTAATAAATAATGAAACATTAAAAATCGTTGTAGTGTCGGAGCGATGAAGGTTACTCGTCATCATAGTAGCAAGAATAGAACGCCTACTTCAAGTCGTTCAAAACATAAAAAAAAAGACATTGAGTTTGCATGTATAGATATAAAAAAACATTATTACATTCTATTGATTCATAATAAATCTAATAATTAGAAATATCATGAAAATAGTAAAGTAAAATATGTGCAATCAACTACAAGTTATTTGGGTTATTTATTTTATATTTATAAAATTTATGTGATGGAACAAAACTTGATTTGTAGAAAGGAGTTTAATGTATTATATCAACCTTATGTACAATATTTATTACTTCTTTTCCGTTGATTAAATTAGAATTGTTAGTTAAATATCTTATATTGTTTTATTATTGTTGTTGTGGTGGTGGTTATTATTGCTATTATATTATTATTATTGTTACTACTACTACTACTACTAATATTATTTTATTTTTTATTTTTTTATAACGGTTCCTTAACGGTTCCATGCACATATTTTTTATAGGAACCGGGAACCGAACCGTTATAACCTGCTTCGGTTCGGTTCCTACAAATGAGGCATTAATTGTTAACGGTTCGGTTCCTAGATGTTGTTACCGGTTCGGTTCCAATCGGTTCTACGGTTCCCGGTTCCAAAATCTCACCCCTACTTTTATATGACTCGCTATATATTAAAACTACAAAAAATGTGGCGTTTGCATTTGGTCAGTCTTTTGCACATAAATAAATACGGAGTATTAGAGAAACTTGCCTCATCAACTCTGACTAGCTGAGAGTGTACTGGGAAAGTGAATGACCAAGAGCTCAGCTAGAACAGTAGTGGACTTTAAAGAGTTAGTCTACCAGCACAGTAACAACTGATTTGAAATGTACACAAATACAACAAACGAACACCAGTCAACATCAATTTGTACCTCATGAAAGATTTCTTCTTCAGGCTTCACATATATTATGGCTCCATCACCGGTTTTACTCGACACAATTTTTTTGTCTGCATTCTTATGCTGCACAAAAAATAAGTAGAAGAAAAAGATATTACTACCAATGCAAGACTATATGCATAAGGTGAAAAAAGACTGATCAGAAAACAAAGAGCATACCTTGTAAATTTTAGTGATCACCAGGTAAAACCTAAAGCAAAAAGATTTTTTTAGCTCTTCTGTTGGCTGCAAGAAATGAAAACCAGGGGGGCCACTAAAATAAAAATAAAACAATCATACAATTAATACGGATCTTATAAAAAAAACTCTCCCGCAAACCTCATCTTCCGTAGCCCATGAGATTTCATCAAAGAGTGCATCGTAAAGGGGAGGCAAAAGCTGGGGAGGGAGATTTGCCACACGTTGAGAAACTAAGAGTCCAACATCCTCAGATTGCTCTTCAAGAAATAAGCTCAACTTAGCATGTACATTCTGATCTTGGCATGCCTTAAGGAGGAACTTCTTCAACTCCACTATACAATTTTTTTCCTGCGGCACAAATAAACCTCAAGGGTCAGTTTGGAATCCGAAAAAAATGCTATGGAAAGAAATATGGGAAGAAAATATAAGAGAAAGTTGGAATGAAAGAAAATGTTAAGGAAAACAAAACACTAGCCCATGCTCAATAAATATTTGCTGAATAAATATTTGCTCAAATCTATTCTACAAATTTATTACTGTTATATACTCCATATATAGTTATATACGAAGAACTTTGCACATATGAATTTTCCTTTTCCTTTTCATGTTCTGAGATAATAGCAAACATAAGAAATATACTTTCCTTGAAATTTTCTTTGCTTTGCCTAGCACTATCCATGATCCAAACATAGCCTAAATGACATTAGTAAATCAATAACCAACCCCTCTGATTGTCCGTTCCCATGCATTCACATAATGCATATAATATACATTTGCATAATAATGAGCAGGCGGAGTGACCGGTGGTTTGAACTTTCTCTCATTTCTTTGGAGATAATAAAATGACTCAGGTACGAATTTGCTTATTTTCTTCCATGAATGAATAAATAGGGCTAAACAAGAGCAGGTTTCTTGCCTTATATCTTCCCAAGTTCAGGGCGCTGATAACAGAGTAAATTCCTTCATCTTCATCATTTGCTATTTTAACAACAGTGCCTACAGTGGGCTGTCCCAAGATTAGGTCAACAAAACCACTCAAATCCCACTCTTTATTATCAAGGTAGCTCTGCAGGAGAAGCTTCACTCCATGGAAGTCACTGGGCTTTGGATCAAAGAACTCAAAGTCTGCTTGGACAGTAGTACCCTTTCAACAAAAAGCATGTATCAAAATGATATAGGCTAATAATAACTACAATAGCAAAAGCCTGTCAATTCTTAGTTTCCTTACTTCAAACTCTTCATCATCAGAATGCAGGTTGTCTTCATCATCAGAAGAATCAGAATGCAGGTTGTTCTGGTCTCCTAGTTTTTTATTTAGAACTCCATTACCTACAGTCATAATTGCAACCAGTGAAAAATCAACATTTATTCTACAAAAAGTAACATGTATACAATTTACTAGAAGATACTGCACCTGATGAGCTGGGCGCTTCTTTTTCTCGTAGTCCTTTAGAAATCTCATGCTTGACCTTGCTAAATGAGGCAAGACGGACCACAGATCGAGCATATGGAGACAAACCAAAAGGTCTATATCTTAACGATCGATTACGCCTTGTGATTTTATGAGGCATTTTGATCTACTTTTAGATAAGTAAACCTGAATAACAATTACCAAGTACAAATATGTCATTTCATGTAAAGTGACAGTGTTCATAAATATGACCAAATATAAACTGGTTGACTCATATGGTAGATGAACGTGATGGCTTCTCCTATTATCTATTACGTAGTATATTATACGTAGTATATGAATGTGAATGACCACAATGCTGCTTGTATTGGTTGAGATTGGGTAAGTACAATAGGGATGGACTGTATTTTATATTAACAAAAAGAATCTCCTATGTTTGTTAAGAAAGATAAACCCACTTACCCAGTGCTATCAATGGCGGGTTGCGGACTAGCGGATAATGGAAAGCCTAAAATAAATTAAGGAAGCATAGAGATTAGGTCAAATAAATCACATATATACTCCACAGTAAATAATTTCAAATATCATACTGGATGTAAGTGGTGATGTAATAAAATATACTCCGTACGAAGTATTCTACTTACACGATCACAGTTAGAAACTTAAACTAAATTTAGAATCATTGCATAAGGAATAAGAAAATAAGAGTGCAGCAGGGATAAATATAGCATAACGAATTGTAAAGAGAAAGAGTTCAGAATAACATTAAAAGAATATAAGAGTATGATTTTCAAAGAAAAAAACATTGGGAGAGGCTTACAGGGTAGAAGGTGGAGGATGGGCAGTCGCAGAAGAGGAAGCAAACCGCGAGAGAGCAGGGAACGAGCAGGGAGAAGGTTATTTTGTTTTGGATTGTAGAATAAGGGGCTGTCTACTTTTATTTTCATTAAATCTTGTCTAAGACGTGTATCTGAATTAAGTGTTTACTATGTGTGTAAACACATAGTAAATTCCCAATTACCCTCCTTCTGCCTGTAACAAGTAACATTCTTCACTTTATCTATCCTGAATGATATTCTGGTTGCATAAAAATTATTACAATGCCAATTTAGGAAGCAAATAAGTTCACAAAACACAATTATATGAATTCAATAATATTATGCCTAAATATGAAATTTAAGCATTTCCTACTAATCTATTTCTACTAATCTATTTGCAAAAACATCTCATTTAATTGTCATATAATGTATGTTGTATGTGCACCATCTCGTTCCATCTATTTCTTCTTCACTTCCTTTACTTTCTCCTTCTTCATCCTTGAATATTGTCTCATCCTCCCACTCATCGAACAACTTATTTTGAATGTTCTATTTTCTTCTTCACATTGTATTTTCATTGTCAGAAATTTTATCAAGCTATCGGAATATAGCAAATTTTACCCTGAGGAGAGAAGAAGAGAACAAAAAAATATAAAATCAGATGACATACCTTGATGAAGAAGGCGGCGTTGCGATTTCTCTTCGTTGATTTCGTGGTAGCTCGCAAAGTGCTGGGAGCGGTGATGTTCACAGATTTGTAGTCGACTGCTGCTTGTATGCGATGAAATGTTAGAACGGGAAGCAAGGTTAGAGGAGGCAACCAACATAAAGAGCCGTGTTTGGTAGCAGTAAAATGGGTTATTTTGGTTATTCGGCTGAAATTTACGAAGTTTTGGTCGAAGTGGCTGCATTGCCTGATTCTGCTGATTTGAGAAAAAATTATTTTCAAAATATATTTTATTAATTAAATAAAGAAAAAATTATATGTAAAACTAGCTAAAATGGTCATCTACAGTAACTGCAGCCAATACAGCCAGAAAAGTAACTTCAACCTTACTTTTTCTGCTTATTACACAATTCAGCGCGCGAAAGAAAAAGTTAAGTGTTTGGTGAAAAAATTGGCTGATAAGCCGAAAAACAATGTTGTCAAACGGCCTCAAAGTCATAAAGACGTCTAAATGCTAAGGAGTGTTAAAATAGAGCTGAAGAATAAATCGTGAATTGACCGAGCCAAAATATCACATTAGAAAGTCATAACACCGGTATATAACTTTGTCCAAAAAAAACACCTGTATACAACTGAATCATTAGGGGGTGTATTCAATATGGATTGTTGTGGTCTTTTTTTAATTCATAGACTTTAAAATCCATAGACTTTTTTATGAATAAATTCTATGGATTTTTAAATCCATGGATAAATTTACTGACTTTCAAAAAGTCCATAGACTTTTAAATGCGGACCGCCACGGCTGGTCGTCAAAATTTTCACCTAGATTGTCGCTACCGATATGCCTGTGACCTGCCCGCCTCCATCACCGGAGTTCCCTACTGTCGTCATCGGACTGACCCGCCACCAACAAAATGGCTTTGGTTATGAAAGGGAACTTGGGACAATTGGACTGACTTCTAAAGCTATAAGGGTTGGCTTGACATGGTCCCCATTGTAATATTTATTCTTATTTCTGAAAAAATCAAATATATAATCATACTTTAAGAATATTGCTATGTTTTAGTCCTATCTTGAGTGATTTCCTTTATATAATACGAAGTACGATAAGAAATAGATAAATAAATAAATAAATAAATAAAAACTAAATAAATAAATAGAAAAATGTGTAATTCATATAGCAACACAAAGTTCTACAAAAATAAATGAAGCATAAGAATTCAAATTTATTTTTATTAAAAAAACTCAAAGTTTCAAGAATGCTCAAGAATTTTAGCCATTTTATTAATGATTAAGAACATTAATCGTTACACAAGCGTTACACTCATTGCTACATATGGTACAAACATAGATGTAGTCGAGCTTCTCTACTTAATGATTGTTTTCTTTTAATTTCTATCTTGTAAAAACATGTATATGTATTTATGGTTATATATTTATTAACTAGAAATTATATTTTTATGTGTAAGTGATTTAACGATGAAAGAAAGTAATAGTTAAAATATTTATTTTCTTAATGGTTAACTGACTACGTACCAGAATTGCATTGATGTAATACTATCAATTCTTATATCGGTTCTTTTAAAAACTTCTAGAATCGAATCAATATATATGGGATTAATGAATCGAGGGGGTGGGGTGGGGCCGGCAAGCTGAAGAAGAAGGAGGATCGGGGGGGGGGGGGGGGGGGGGGGGAGGGGGGGTGGCTTTACTAAAGAAGAGGAGAGTTGGGGGAGGGGGGGTTAGGTTTGGCCCGGGGCCGGTCTGACCAGCCCGGCCCGGTGGACAGGTACCGGTAGCGGGCCTAGGCCCAACCCGGATGTTAATTAGGGCGGTTCCGGGACTGCATATTTGGGGACTGGCCGGCCGGTCTGGTTTTTTTTTTTGTTTGTTTTTTGGGTTTGGGCCTATGGTTGGTGGGCTGGGATGTGTGTTTTGAGGGATTTGCGGGTGGGCCCGACCCGGAACCGGAACTGGACCGGGCCCGGTTCATCCCTAGGGGGGAGGCTAGGGGGAGGGGAGGGACGGGGTGGGACGGGATGAATAACCGATATAAGAAAAGTCCACGGAAATCTTTGGTGAAGAGAAGAGACAATTGCATAGAATTTTTGCACTAAAAATAAGTTAAAAGTTCACGAGAATCCATGATTTTAGAAGTCAATAAGATGAACGGAACTTTGAATACGCCTAAACTTTTATAGAATTTTAAAAGTCTGCATTGAATACACCTAAACTTTTGTAGACTTTTAAAAGTCCACATTAAATACACCTAAACTTTTAAAATCCATGGACTTTCTACATTTTGCCAGTAATTCCTAATACAATACACCCCTAGACATTAAGTCACGTTTTCTATTCCGCCCATTAAGTCGAAAGTAAACAGACCTAAGTAAAGTCTAACTGTAGAATACCAGTGTCCAGATGACTTGGCTTTTAGGGTTCAATTAAAAACTTTAGGGTATACGACTAATACGAGGTAAAATATGAAGGATGGTGAACAAACTGAACACTAGACTTATATGTGAATCTTAGAGTCTATTTAATAATATTGAAACCGACTAAATCGGTTGAAATTTATAAGATTGTGGCGGAAACGATCGAGTGGGTTGAATCTGTTGAAATTATGATTGAAGTGACTGAAATAGCTGATTAAGAAAATAAAGAAAAGTTATATGAAAATAGCTAAAATGAATCTCTACAATAACTTCAGCTAATTAGCCAGATAAATAACTTCAACTTTACTTATTTTGATTATTATACAAACCGACGTGCGAAATAAAAAATTAACATCAAATGTGAATACCATCAAATGAGCCCTTAAATTGGCCGCTATAATTTAAAATTGATCATGAATTTAACATATTCTTTCATGTTTTGACACGTATTTGACAAGTATGGATACCATCTGACGCTTTCTTTTTCTTATGTCATTCCATATGTGTGGTTGATATTGGAAAATAGTCGTGCATGGTCATATTTTGAGAATTGTCATGAATTTTAGACATATATAAGTATTTTCCTTCTTATATTAATAAAATCATGATTCAGACATACTGATATAATCGGAAATGATGCCAAACATGACAACTTATATAGAAGAGTAAATTTTGTACTTTATAGTATTCGTATTAAAAATGGAACGGTCGTAATTTACCCTCAAAAGTAGGGTGACAAATTGTTGAGTTGTAAAATGGACTCAATATATTTAAAGGGGAAAAAATATTTAAAAAGTCTAAACTTTGAGAAGTAAATACTCTATACACGCATATGTAATATAAGGATGTTTTTACTTGGACCGTTTTTAGTCTCAGACCAGATTGAACCAGATCATATCAGACCAGACCAAACCAGACTTGGATAGTTATAAAGTATACACAGAACAGAGACCAGATGTTTACCAGACCAAACTAGAAAATTTCAGTTCAAGTAAAATATCCTAAATATCTCACTTTATTAAAAAAGTTATTTTAATTGTTTTGTCTAAAAATAGAATGGATATATTCGAAAGAACTAAGTTATCCCCCAAACTCATTCAACAAATATTGATTAAATTGTACTCGATAGGAACATTAAAAAAAATCCATTTCTTCCTATGTAAATTACCTGATTGGGCTTATTTATTAAACGACTGCAAAATTTGGTTGTGCAGTTATGGCATGACAAGAGGTTGGGACTTCAGGTCATTAAGAATATGGCAATGAATCTCGAGCCCAACGATGATGAGCATACTGCAAAAATATGATCTATTGCTTTTTACAGAGTTGATGGTTTAACCTATTTTGAACTGGTAATAAATTACTCCGTATGAAAGCTGTCAACTGTCAAGAATAAGGATGTTTTTACCTGGACGGTAATTTGTCCCAGATCAGACAGATAATTATAAAAATATAAAGAGACCAGACATTACCAGACCAGATCAGCAAATTATAAAAACATCCAAGGACAATCATAAGCTTGATTTATTTATTAGATTATGATGTTACGAGCCTTATTATTAGCGACACGTCCACACCCCAGAAAATCCAGAATAGAGGAAATGGGAGCTGGAAAATGCAAAGTTTGCTACCAAAGAGCATAAAGTAAGAAAAAAACTTAAAGTACGATTCTCGACACTTTTCAAATTCTCTAACCTCGGAATAATTATTACAAATTTACAATAAAGTTCTATACGTGGATGAATACTTCTCAATGAAAGAACACTACATACAAAATTTCGGGAACGAAAAATAAGAAATGTTATTTAAGCTTACATTCTCAAAGGCAAAAAAATCAGAATGCCTACATAGCTTTTTCTATGAACAATGTTCCCAAATTGTCCATGTCCATCTTTCAAGACCCAAACCCTTAGTTTCCTCCCTGTGTTACCTGAAGTAGTAGACTAGTAGTTCCTGATTTGTTTCATCAACTGATGAAATAAAGTTCCACTTGTGACTGAAACTTTCCCTTACATCACCCCTGAAGGACAAAACGTCTGGAAAAGAACATGAGTTCTTTCAAGCACATCCAGGACAAGAAGATGCATTTAAGCATACATTTCTTACTACCACCAGATTCTATTGACAATAACACCACTCATATGTACAACAGTGGAGCAATAGAGAGATGACTGGAGAGTGGAAACACATCCGCTTTTCAATTTACAAAAGGTGTTGAAGAACCACTTGCCATACCCATCAAGAACGAATCATCTAAATTGTATCAAGGAGAAAGGTTAATTAATAAATAGATGAAGAAATCAGTAATACAAATTATTATTAGCATATAGAGGATAAGTTTCTTGTAGAATAAACACACATGCAATGCAATACTCTGTGCAAGTATAATAACATTGCCTACGATCCAACACGATACACGAGTGACCAGTTTAGAGTATAATTTGACAAACCTCACAGATAGGGAAGATAAAATAAGATTTTGCCATTTTAGGAACAAACTAACATGTTGCAACTTGCAACCAGGTAGAATACCTTTCTAACTTAAAAAAAGATTGGGGGTCTTACCATCCTGTTAGGGGTGCTTCTCCCCTGTATTGTCTTCTTTGCTGCATTGGCAAAAGCAATGGCAGCTTCTGCATCAGCTTCTGCAGCCTCTGCTTCCCTTGCAGCCTGTTCAGCTTCTGCTACAGCAGCTTCTGCTTCGGCAACAGCTTCAGCAGCGGCAGC